CTAAAGAAAAAGTTTAGAAAAATTAATTTTACTAAATTTATTAATTAATTGTATTCAACTACTGAAGTACTTATCTACCTTTATGTACTTAAGTACTTAAGTACGTACTTACCTTTATGTACTTAAGTACTTAAAGTTAGATAATTGTTTCTTTGTTTACGTTTTTCTAATTCTAATAAAAAACAACTACATATATTGCTACTTTATACCAGCATTAAACGCAAGTTTGTAATAATTAGAACTTAGGACAAAGAAACAAAGCAAAATAATAGATAGACATATAAAACGTATTCATCACATACACGACTCGTTTTCAAATAACCTCAAAAAATGTGTTCCTTTCAATAACTTTTGTGTTAATAAGAACAATAACACGAATTCCAAACATTATTTATTTAAAATGTTTGCTTGTTTACTTAGTCTCTATTAGACAACAAAAGACTACTTTACTACGCTAAATTAATAACTGAAAAGTTAAAAGCGAGTATTTCTCATTTGTCTCAGCTGGTTTAAACAAATGAAGTCATAAATATTAAACACTCCTAAACATTAAACAGCCTAATCCTAATCGAGGATAAACATGAAATAATTTTCACGTCGAACATATACCGAACTTTCCAATTTATTATAAACAAATGTTTTCTTGAGAATTAAATATGTGTTCAAACTTTTCTTATCATTGGTGTTATTTGAACTAAAAACCGCCTAATAACAAAACGACTCATCCGTAGAACAGAGATCTATGTGCAAGACTACTTGTTCTCAGAACATAGTACATTTCGTTCGGTCTTCTTCGCTGTGGATGTCAGATCGACCGTTGTTCGATTTTATATTTCCGAAACGAAATAAGATTATAAATTCTCAAAACATCTTTACATAGGCCCTAGTTTGAATAACGAAACTATGTATTTATTTATCTTTTCCTTATATAATCACATCGGACTCTGTTCTTCGGATGTGTCGAAAAGATTATACCGCATCACCTTAATCCTTTGCACACGTGAGAAGTGGCTCCTCACAGATTGCATCCTGCGTATCTCCGTTTTAGCAATACACTAGTCAGGGAATTTCGCCATTTTGGTGTGGCGGGCCGTGATCTCGACCTGCTTAAATTTACTATAAAGGGTCACGGATCTAGCTATTGACCGTGTGGATTGGAGGAGGCTCGAACGACCTGGCTCTTAAATAGGATGATGAAACGAAGATGACGTTTGTATAAGTATGAAAAAAATAAGTACTTCAGTGCCTGCCTATGTTTTCCTAGTAGTACTTAGGCCACACTGAAAGTTTCAGGATTCTGAGAAGAAAAACCAGATATTACGTATGTAATAGATTTATTGTTGTTCAAACTAGGTATATGCCCTCAGTACTCAAGTATGTTTGCATTAGTTGGAACCGTCAGGCGTCTATTAGGTTCCTTTGATGTACGAGAGTTTGGTGTTTGCTGTATTTGTTGAATAGACTAACAAGGCAAATACTTTGTCATACATGCTATCTACACATGGCGATTGTTTGCCAAATATATCAAATATGAAAATATTAGGGGTTACAGTTGGGTTAAAGTATGAAATTGCCGTTTGGTATTGAAAAATTAAAACATTTTATTTGTAAGATAAAATATATTTCTTTAATCAAATTATTTACCCTCATTGTTTATATATACATTTCTGCCATCTAATCGGACGATCATTTAAACCTTTGCGATAAAATTCAGGCGACCTTGTGTACTCCACAAACTTTGTGAAGGCTTTTTGTACTGCTTCCTGGGAAGAAATTTTTTTCCGTGCGAAACAGTCCAAATCGCGGAGAAAATCCTAGTCGGTTGTGGCGAGCTCCGGCGAGTATTTTGGATGACGGATGATTTCTAACTGCAGGTCTTGTAGTGTTAAAACTGTTTCTCGAGCAGTGTGAGGTCTTGCGTTATCATGGAGTAATAATGGTGAAGCTGTTTTGCTGCGTCTTTCGCCGCCATTGTTTAAATGCTATATGCTAACATTAAACCATGTCGCCAATTCCTTGGTAGTTTGCTACGGATCGGCTTCCATCAACACCTCCAATTCATCGTTATTTACCTTAGTGACGGGTCTTTCTTGTAGTTCATTCTTCAAGCCAAAATTTCGAAAATTATCGAACAACACACGGTGTCTTCGTTAGCCGTATCCTCGCCAAACAAAGCATTGACATTACGAGCAGTTTCTGCTGCGTTAACCCCATGTCGGAACTCGTATTCGAAAATTACTATGATTTTAGCTGTATCCATCTACACGTTAAAAGGTGAATGTTAAAACAACTGAAAGTCGAACAATTAATTAAAATTAGTTTTTTATTTAAAGAATATTTTAGTTTTGTGTGAAAAAAGTTTCACTCTGAAATGTGACACCATACAGGTTTAATTTTAATTGAAAGTGGCCAGTACGCTAAATCGGCAATTTCATATTTAAACCCCTATTACAAATAGACACTGGGGTCCAGTCCGAAGGATGAGTAATGATTTAACACCCTGTTTACGTAGTGTGTCTACGCATGTAGGAAGGTTTGTTCCCTCATATATGTGATATGATATATCTTGTTGTAACTATGTAGCACGCTAAATCGAGCCAAGAAAGTAAACCCAATAATAAAACGAACTTATTGACGATTTCCTAATTGAAGTTTAAAAAGTAGACAGTGACCAAGGAAAAGAATAAAGCAAGTTAAATGCGTCTCTAAGCAGCATTTTTATGTAAAATAAGCCTTCGAGCAAGGAAGCTTTAAAGTCTACTTTTGATTTCCATTCTGTATTGCATAATTTCTTGAATCTGATATTAAGAATGATGTATGTACTTTAGCGTGAGATACATAGGTAGTAAATCTCTCTTTTTTTTGTATGTGTTTGCACTCGGTAGCAGGTATAGCATCTATAAATTACTTCAATTTATTTTTAGTTATATTTACATTAATTTTAATTAATCCTTTTCCTTTTGTTTGAAATACGCTATAAATTTAATTAAAATAATTAAAATTGTTATAAAATATAAAGGTTAGGCAATTCATTATACTTATTAAATAATATTAATTTAATAAACATAAGGAAATGTGAAAAATGCACGTTTATTTATTACGTAACTATTTACTTCAATATATAAACATCTAGGTAAATAAATACAAGCATATAATTGTTTTGCATTATAAGACTTAGCATAAATAATTAATACAATGCACTGATCGTAATAGACGTATGTATGAAATTATTGATATGCAACATATACACACGCCATATACAACCCATAGAACACACGCCCAAAAATAAAAACACACACCATCCAAAATAATAAATTAAATCATACATTTCTGTGGAAAACACACACGCCACATATCGTAGCGAAGCGGTAGAATCAGGAAAATACTGATTCAACTAGCATTGTGAAAACTGAAACGGATCTCTACAATGAAATATTTATATTTTACACAGTCATAAAACACAAAATGTTAGTGTTGTCATTAGAAAAAAATTATGGTATAATTCTACAATATAACGAGGGCCAAATCCTATGTCCATTGACGACCACCGTGTTCGAGTGGCTTGTACACCGGTTTTCATGGTGTCACCATCTTCTGAGATGAGAGAGGTCTCGGGTTCGATCTCCGGCCGATTCAATGTAGAAGCACTAAATTTTCTATATTGTCTCGGGTCTGGGTGTTTGTGGTATCGTCGTTCTTTCCGATTTCCATGACACAAATGCTTTAGTCACTTTAGGATCAGAGCAACAAATGTGATGTCTAATATTTGTTTGTCTATGTCTGCACAGTACTAAATGTACTGTATAAAGGGCAATGGTTCGGGAACGCAGTCGTGTCGTAGCGTGTGTGTACCAGTACATCTTTTACACTTAGAGCCTTATCACACTGGCGATTTGCGAGCGATTTGAGAGCGACGCGACAGCGTGGCGTACTCGCCGCGAGCGCGCAGCGTGCACTCCGCGAGCTTGCAGCGACAACGCTGTGCTCACTTGGCGATTTGAAAGCAATGCAAACTCCCAGCGAGCACGCTCTCTACTGATTTTTTGTACTTGTGTACCTGTGGGCTAGCCGGAGGACAAACGTTGTTTATCCTTCATATTCTCGCCGAGTAGATGGTATGTAGTTAATTTGCGGACCACCAATACGGTCACATTCCTAACATTAACTTTAAAACTTAACCCAGGTAACTTAAACTCATTGAAGTGGCAGCGGTGTACATTTCCGATATATTTTACGCTTAAAACTTAGGATAGTTTTTACGGAGGCAGGTACCTGGTAGTAGCGGCTTAAATTTCTTAAGCAGGAGAACAGAGCTACACACGTTAAAGCTGTGAAAATTCTCTATAGGAAAATAATTACTACGTGATTTTTAAAAACTAATTTAAAGTCGATGTCGAGAATATTAAATGATACGAACTAACCTAGCATAAATTATCTATTATAAATTCAAACTAGTATAAAAATCGTATTCCTACATCACTTACTATAAAAAACTGTGTTTTTTAATTATTACATAATGGCGAACTTTAAATTGATAATGCAACATTGTAAGGTGCCTACAGATTTGCTCGACATTGTCGATCGTTAATTCGACATCACAATCACATTGTCGATCAGGTGCCTCAGATTTGCTCGACATTGATGACGATCGACAATGTCGATTGGGTGCATACAGATTTGCTCTATAATGTCGATAGATATGATGTGTTTTGAGCATAAGTAAAAAAAAGGTGCTCCAAATCTATAGATACATGTATAGATATAGCTCCAAGGAGCAATATAGAGTTATGAAGACCATCAATTTTTTTTTAAATTCATTACTTTTTTTGGATTCCGGATTTCCGGAAACAGTTTTACGGCATTGTAAGCAAGCTACTCACAGAGTAGTTTTGTCCTACGATGTTGGACGATGCCACGATGTTGTAAGTAGGGAATCCGGAACCGGGTATGTATTGAAGAACCGGGAATTTCCCGGTTCTTTCGGTACTTCCGGTACTAGCTAGTTGTTGTCCAATGGCGATACAATCAGTGAAAAAGTAAGCCATAATACTCGACGGGTTAAGAAAGCGATAGGTTTAGTAAAAACTAAATATTGGAGCTTTTTTATGGAAAGTAACGTAGTATAAATAAATCAAGTAAATTTTTCAGCCTGACAATGTCGATCGATATTAACGGTCGACAATGTCGAGCAAATCTGTAGGCACTTGTATACGTTACGCTGCCATTTTTTTGTTTTAGAAGTAAACAATTTTGTTTTCAGTAACATCTTTGAGCCAAAAGGAGGAGGCTTCCAAATAAATATTTCTAGTAGAACATTTTTTGATTTCAATATGTAAGATGGTAATACTGAGATTATCGTTGTTATTTTCTAGCAAAAGCTACAATGAGAGTGTATCCAGCACTTACGTGCACTGAATGGTTAATATTATTATTCACCTCGTCAACAAATCTCATATCTACAACTATATCCATATAATCTTCTAAAAACTCATCCTCCAGCTCTTTGGGGACCTTGAATGGGTTTACTGCGGCAACAGCTTCTGAAAACAAGATAGAACTATTACTTAGTATGTTAATACCTATAAACAAGTATAAAGATTTTTTGTAAATATTGCTAACTATTTTTTATTTTTTACAATGTTAACTACAGGCCAATTATACAATTAAATTTTAAGCCGAAAATGGATGAGTGATATGTATGACGTCTATTGGTGGGGCACCGATGCATCGTCAGTAATAAATGTTCGTCACTCTAACCGGTCTTTTACTTAGCTCCGATATCTATATCACTGGTGACGAGATTAGAAACTAACTTCGTGTGTGAACAAAAAAAAGTGCATCGTAATGTCGTTTTTGGGGAATTTGCCTGTTTTCGATCACAAAAACAGTGAATGGGCTATTTTTAAAGACAGGTTAAAACAATTCATACTTGTAAATAATGTGAAAGAAAACGAGAATGCGATATTAACTGCGCACTTCTCGGATGAAACGTACCCGTTGGTTCGCAATTTGACCTACCCCAAGAATATGACGATCTAAAGTATAGCGAACTGATTTTATCACTCGACACTCACTTCAAGCCGAAACAATGTTTATTTGCGGGCATAGCGAATTTCTACGGGGCGACAAAGAACTCAGGTGAACGTCTGGGAGACTGGGCGGCGCGACTAAGGGGGTTGGTAAGTTATTGCGACTTCGGCACCGCTCTGGAATCGAATCTGAGGTATCGATTCGTTCTCGGCCTAGACTCAGTTCCCGAACGCGACAAATTGTTCGAGCAAAAACCATCGACATTGACCTTTGCTCGGGCTTTGGAGTTGGCAGAACAAGGCGCGGGTGATGATCAACGGGGCCGACGGCAAAATGCGTGTTCAGTGTGCGGATTAAAAAATCTCAACGAATTCGTTGGCCGTTATAAAAATTACAAAGGTGAAAATTGTGGTATCAAAGGCATTTAAAAAAAATGTGCTGTGGTAATTATAAAGTGAACAACATGAACATCAAACGGAATGGAGGAAATGAAAAACCCTCACAGTGGTGAGGACACCGACTGCGAGGAATGTCAAATGTTTCCTTTAAGGTCTGCATGCATCTGTTAAACCAATTATGTTGAAAATAATTAATGGCACACAACAAATTAACATGGAATTAGATTCCGGCTCAGGTACATTAGTTATTTCCAAATGTCTATACAAAAATTATTTTTCTAATTACGTGCTGCATGATTGCAATGTTAAGATGTGTTTGTATAACGGATATAAAATCTCACCATTGGGATACCTTGTTTGTGAAACAACGTACAATAAGGAGACTAAAAACATTACATTCTTGGTAGGTAATTAAAAACGGGGGGTCACCCTTGTTGGGGGAGACTTTATGTTCGCATTAAATTTAACACTTACGGCAAAAATTAACAATATCACAGTAGATGCAGACGATAATGTATCGGAAATATTGGAACAATATCCAGACTTATGGCAATGATGAATTGGGGACGTTCAATAAGTTTAAGGTCAGCCTACATTTGAAAGAAAACGTTACTCTCAAATTTTTTAACCCTAGGCCAGTGCCGTTTGCGTTACAGGATAAAGTTGAACAGGAGTTTGAACGATTAGTACAACTTGGAATATTAGTCCCAATTAATTATTCAAAATACGCCACTCCGATTGTCCCCGTAACAAAAGAAAACGGTAAGGTCAGATTAGCAGTCGACTACTCGGTAACATAAAATAAGGACCTTATCATAGAAAACTATCCTCTTGTTCGAATTGAAGACGTATTCGCTAAGTTAGGGGGTGGGGAACGTTTCAGTAAAATTGACCTTAAAAACGCATACAATCAATTTGTTTTAGATGACTCGTCACAAGAACTCACAACGATTGACACCCAAAGGGGTTTGTTTAAATACACCCGTTTAGTTTATGGGCTGGCTAATGCTCCGGCTATATTTCAAAAATGAATGGAATCTCTATTATCAGGCATTAAAGGAGTACTCACTCCTATGGTTGGATGATATCTGTATCACAGAGCTGAATAAACAAATACATTTACAAGGCTGCGTGAGGTACTGCGTAGGCTATGCGATGCGGGTTTAAGGCATCAAAAGGAAAAATGCGAATTTTTTAGGCAATCAGTGACTTGCCTAGGGTATGTAATTAATAAAGAGGGCCTAAGAATGAATCCAGATAAGGTGCAGGCTATAAAGAATGCCCCGGAACCGGTTAATGTAACTGAATAATGATGAATGACTGTATTTAGGTTTGGTAAGTCTCTATTACAGCATGTGCAATACATTGATTTAAACTATGAGTATTCGGGGCGACCGAGAAATATTCCGCAACATACTTCACAAAATGTACTTAGAGAAATCTTACGTTTTGAATGTCTTTTTAAAGTGACAAATTATAATTTGCTAATAAAATATGATACTAATTTATAAAAGACATATATTTATAAAATACATTTGCTTCAAAGGGCATCCAATCGGAGTCAGATTTGGATCGCACCTTTCGTCACTAATGCTTTCGGACATTCTAATTTTCATATATGTAGTTCATCAGAACATTCGATCGTTGCGTAATAACTATTGAGGAATATCGAGTTATATGTACAGGAAATGGCTGTGGTTTGTAATGTACTACGTTTCAGTGAAACTTTTCTTAAAACATCTGATAATGAATTCGTGCACTCAGATAATTATAGCTTAGCTAATTCTTATTGTAGAAAGGACAAACATAGGGGTGGTACTTGTATATTTCTATAAAACAATATAGAATATAGTTTGTGATAATTATTAATACAAAGATCAAACACTCAGAAAAAATTCCTTCGATCCGGTCGGATTCGAACCGACGTCTTCTTGCATACCGTGCCAGACGCTATACCAACTAAGTCACGGAACGAACCAACGGACCTCACGAATTTTTCTATGTGCTTGCGTCGTGTCTTTGTATTTGGTTTTTCAACGACTTTTTAGTCGTAGCGCCATCTATGAGAAATCTATGAAAGATTTATCACCCAGTTAGTACCTTTACAGCTACCAGTCCTGGCGAGAGACATATACGAGTACATATAGCGTCTGGCACGGTATGCAAGAAGACGTCGGTTCGATTCCGACCGGATTGAAGGAATTTTTTCTGAGTGTTTGATCTTTGTATTAATAATTATAACAAACTAGTGGAGTAATTTCACAAAAAATAATTGGATATCAATTCAATAAAAATTCAATTAATATAGAATAATTATAATAAATTAGATTGGCTTGACAATATAGCTCTAGCAAAATGCTTTCAATGTTGTGGAATAAAAGTACCTAGAATTAATCTTATCTTTATAGTTGTGTACCAAAGTATCATAGAACCCTTTTTACAATCACTTCAAAACTTTTAATTAAATTTACTACAAAAATAAGACAGGGCTATGAATTATATTGTGGCTGGAGATTTTAATATAGATACTTTGAAAGATACGTCTGCATCTTGAGAATTTATACCAATATTAAAAATTCTTATAATTTACCCTTTGAGGAATAACTGGCTCCTCTAAAACATCCATAGACAATGTAATATCTAACTGCAAAGAATATAAAGTTAATGTTATTAACAACGGCCTTACAGACCACACATCTCAATTAATAGAAGTGCCAATAAGTAAGAAATTGGGTCTTTTTTCCCACTGGTATATATTAAATTATTCTAATTTAAACAATTTCAATCATTACTTATCTACTTTGACATTTTCTGAACTCTATAAAATGGAACGTCGATGAAGCATTTAATTATTTTGTAGATATTTTTACGACATGGAATTATTGTAAATCCAATTAAAAAAGATTAAAATTAGCAGTAAAGTTAATCCTACGTGGAAAACAAGAGGTATAAAAATCTTGTAAACGCAAGAGATAATTTATCTAAACTTATGTCAGCGTCGAAGTCCTACCAAAGTAAATCACTATAACAACTTAAAAAAGATTTTAAAAAAGGCAATAAAAACATCACAAATAATTAGTAATAATGATTACATAAAAAATAGTAAGAATGTTACTCGGGCTACGTGGAAAATAATAAAACTCACTACAAATAACAAAATTACAAAATCCGCATATGACATCACTGTAGGTTTACACTCCATATTACTATAAAATATCCGTCACAAAAAGCTGAAAAGTTTAAGGAATTCTTCATAAATATGACCGATAAAAACAAATTTTTTCAGCCGTTTCCACCTTTGACAGAACCACAAGTGAACCGAATACAAAAACAGAAGTTTGTAAATTATAAAAAAATTAATAAATTAGATTTGATAGTGTTATAAAATTCTGTACAAATACTACTGTATCTTCTTTATCAGTTATCTTATTTATCAGGTATATTTCCGCAGAAATTGAAAAAAACTATTGTAAAACCGTTACACAAAAAGGGTTCAAAAAGTGAAATGACAAATTACAGACCTATTGCAGTTTTGACAATATATTCAATATTATTCGAGAAAGTCATGTATGATAGAGTCTCCATATTCCTAGAAGAATATAATTTTAGGTGAAAGGCAATTTGGAAAGCGAAATGGACGAACTACAGTACAAGGTGTCTTTAGATTGGTAAGACATGTATGGGATGCATTTAACACTCGTTCACATGCTACTGCTTTATTCTTAGATATGTCCAAGGAATTGGATTGGTAAATCATAAAATAGTTCTACAAGTGCTCCTGCACGTGGGGAATGTGGAATGGCATTACAATAGTTTGAGTCATATTTGAGTGATCGTAATCGCAGGTTACTGAAATTAGTTATATTGACGCTTGTAACAAAACTGTAACAAAAGTACAATCCACTAATAGAATTATAGAAAGAGGAGTGTCGCAGGGCAGTATCTTGGGCCCTTTGTTGTTTGTGCTTTATATAAATGAATTACCATTATTTACACGACATACAGCTGTACTATTTGCTGATAATGTGTCAATCTTAATAGTAAATAAAGGCTTATCTGTAAGCAGTATGAAGAAGAGATCAATTTGACACTAAAACACATTACAGTCTGGCTACACAACATTGATCTATCAGTTGACTTAATAAAAACTAAAGCTATGCAATTCCACGCTCATCAAGCTAAAGCGGGAAGTATTAATATTTGTTACAAAACAGTAAATGTTGAAACAGTACAAATATTCAAAATTTTGGGACTATATGTAGATTCGCATTTAGATTGGAAACATCAAATTGAAACCATAAACAATAAACTATCAAGTCTATTATACGTCCTATTGATGCTGGCAAGAAATGCCTCCCGTGACACTCAACTGACAACGTATTACGGAACTGTGTATCCAATACTCAATTATGGAGTCATCCTTTGGGGTAACTGTGTGAACTCTACATTTGTCCTTCAAAAGACATGTATTCGCATTATATATAATAAAGACTTTATGACGTCAGCCAGAATTTTATTTAGACATAATAACATTTTAACATCGTCAGGTATATATATTTTGAATTTATGTTTGTTTGTTTATTTATTTCACTCAAAAATTGACAGTACAAAACTATAATCTACGATAGTAACTACCTCAGATATTTGCTGAAGTGTTTACTTCGTGTGTATAATATTCGTGTGTATAATTACTTGCCAAATGACATAAAAATGTTAGATAGTACGAGTTTTGGCAAAACTTTAAAGATGTGGCTAGTTAAAAAATGTTTTAACAATTTAAATGATTTTTTTGATTATAAGCAATGTGAATAAATATTAATGAAATTAAATTAACGTAATAATGAATTAATATTGTTTATGTACAAGTTTATTTTAATTTCATAATTAATTTGTACTTTAAACATGAATTAACTTGTATTTTAAACAATGTGCGCCCGTAGCGGGTACATTGTAAGGACTGTAATTATGTTCATAAGACCTTAATGTTCACCACATTCACACAATAAATTAATTCCATTCCATTCCATTCCATTCCATTCTATTCTATTCTAAATGCAGATAAAATTAACGAAAAGGACGCTCACTTTTACATTCCTCCGGTGTTTTGTAAGTGCACAGCATACGTTTGCATTGCACATCGATATCACGGTATCCTATTTTAGCCATTGTTCTCCGCACGTCCTTCTCGGGGTCCTGGAACATATAGAACTAGGATTTAGATATATTGAAAAATTATCTTTCTTTCTATTATATATAAAACCGCATATTTAATATATGGCAAAAAAATCTGCAATAAGCACATAGAAAAATTCGTAAGGTCTACTGGTTCGTTCCGTGCATAGTGTCTAGCGCGATTTGCTAGAAGACGCTGGTTCGAACCCAGCCGGATCGAAGGAATTTTTTCTTTCTCTCTTTGTTTTAATAATTATAAAAAAACTAGCAGAAGTAATTTCACAAAAAATGATTGAATGTCATAATGGTGAAACATTCAATCATAGATATAGGAAACATTAAATACACTTAATGCACTATATAGTTATTTTTAAACCTCATTTTAAATGCTAAATTTTGGATAAATATTTCCCCCGGGGCCCGTCTTGGAGGTCGTCGTTGGCGGCGTATGGGAGACCTTCATCGGGATGTATTTATGATCGAAGAGGGTCTCCTCGTCCTCCAGGACCTGCCAGCCGGATACTCGCGCCGCTAGTGAGGGGGTCACAAACGTGACGTCTACGATTGGTCAATGGCCCCGGTTGAGGACGACTATCCCTAAGGCTGCCGCCTAATTCTCCAATTCTGGCCCCCTGGCATTGGTGACCGGGGAACCCCACGCAGCGCTCTTGGCGGTGAGGTCCCCCATCACCAGTACCTGCGCTGGGTCTCTAAGAATGCCTAGAATTGGGCCAGGGAGCGATTAGGAGAGTTTCCCTGCAGGCGGACAAAGTATGGCTCCGCCACAACCGCCGCCTCCCACTCCGCCATGGCCTGGACCAATAGGTCCTGTGCTCACCCCCGCGACTCTCCTCCTGGCGTGCATCCCCGCGGTCCCGCTCGGCCCAGACCAACACCAAGACGAGCCCGCGCCTTGTTCCTCTTAGCTTCACCGTGAGATGAAATCGACCACGGCTACTAGAGCCCCATCGCCACGACAAGGCGGGAACCCTTTCGGGAGGTTCATGTTCTTTTTTTTTTAAAGTCGTACAGTTGTCATTTTGGCGACTGGCGAATAAATGTGAGTATTCGTCATAGATTCCAAATTTTTTTCTTATTCATTCCGGAAACTTATAGTGCGTCTCACGTATAATTGTTTCGTCTTGTCAATCATTAAATATTATTTTATTATTTTTAGATTTTAGCGTATTAAAAATGTTAATCAGCAATCTACATTTAATCCACAAAAATACTTTCATGTACAGTCGTTATTTATATATTAATTGAAGTGATATAACCTGAAAGTTGAAAACCACTACAGTTGTCTATATAGGTAGTGATAAGCTTGTTCGATAAAGATATCTAATAAAAATGATCTTTAAGATTGAATACTATAAAAGGTTACGGAAGTTGAGGAAATTAGGAAGAAAGACGGAATAGGATGAATTGGACTACTATTCTTTACTTGCAACAATAACCTATTATTTATATTACCTGTGAATGGTGGTATGGCGAAATAAAGCGGTCGACATTTTTTAGCCAAGGATGCCACTTGCTGCATCGAGATAGTTGCCGGAAGATGTCAAACACTGGCATATGCCCTAAGAAGATGAGCAGACAGTCCCCGCCGTCTGTCAGCAGCTCGTAGATGTTGGATAGCGCACGCCTAGAAAATATAAAAGAATGTAATTAATTACCAACACAATCTCGAAATGGACTCAAAAACTGAATTTCAACACACGCAACACAGACGAGATGCTTCTTAAAAAATATTTGTTCTCCGATAAGAATGATCATCATCACAAACTCATGTAGGAAATGATTTATATAACAAAGAAGAAAGAAAATTATACAATCGAATTTTTTTTCATTAAAAATACTGTGTTTTTTTTAATGGGACAGTATGGGGAAATCTGAAACTATAGAGGATACAAGGAAACTTTCTTAGAAACCATTAAGACGTTTTTTGTGAAAACTATTTTAACATAGTAAATTTTTTGATCAAGCGGAGTTGTCAGCGGAAGAAAAAAATTGGGACCAAGAAATTAAATTTAACCAACTCCTGATGTATCAATTTTTTTTCTTTCGATACAATGTAGTCATACTTATAAGAAATTGAGTCTACTGGCATTTAAAAAAAGAGTCAATTCTGTTAGTACAGCACCTCACAACTTGCTTTTTAATTAATTGTAGATATATATTGTTTATTGTGTATATTTATTTGATTTCATACCTTTTTGTTATTTTATATGTTTTGTTTTGCGTTTTTTTGTCTTCTTTCTTTCTTTCGCTATTTGCTGTTTCATATTATTGTGTGTGCTTGTGGAAAGTCAATAAATGTATTCTATCTATCTATCTATCTATCAATTTCGTGTGAAAAATATTTTATGAAATTTGACCTAGTTCTGCTGTCCTGATGTTTTTGTCCCATACAATGAAATTATTCTTTCACGAAACTAAGTCGATCAGAAGTAATAAAAAATTTTATCAATTTTATTTATTCTTATGGGCAACTTGGCGCTTGCACGGAGAGGCAATGAGGGGAAATAGATACCGGATTCTTCAACTAATAATGCAGGGAAAAATACAAGGAAAGCGTAGTCGAGGCAGAAGGAAAACCTGGTGGTTGAAGAACCTGAGAGTTTGCCCACGTTAGCACATGTACCCTCTTTCGTGGGGCAGCTTCAAAAATTAGAATAGCCATGATGGTCGCCAACTTTCGTAGAGAAGCGGCACACTAAGAAGAAGAAGAAGCGTAATGTCTGAGAACAGTCATGTCGATGTAACGTGCTGTCGGAGTAGCGTGTGTCGGAGTTCAGTTTTAGAGTCATTGTTATGACATGCACTACTATCTCTAGGAGTACCTAGAGATAGTAGTGTTTACAGTAATAAAAGCATTATATGTTATAATTAATGGCCATTGTTCGTTCTAATGTCCACATATGTGCGCTTTATTCAGTCGTACGTAATCTTCAGATTGGCATATAGCTCCTATTCCAGACCAACTTTTATTTGTTACACTTTTTGGTGTTCCTTTAAAGAGTATGACCTTAACCAACGATATCTATGTATTATATAGCGTAATAGATGCGGCGTTCCTTACATACGCTGTGTTTCTTAGCTTATCAATAACCGTTTTTACATCATAATTGTGTATTCCGCGAATTTTGTTTTATTTATGTAAGACTACTCCAAATAACATAGATATGTCCCACATAACTTGACAAGTCGATAATCTTCTATAAATTAACTTTATCTTCCGCGAATTTGTCTGATAAACAGCATCCATTGGTGCCGGATGGGCGGCGTGCGCTAGATAAGCATAAGCGCAGTAGTCCAACCATTTTAGCGCATGCGCTACTGCATACGCTATGGCACGTCACGTATGCGCCAGAGGAAGACGCAAGATGAATATGAAAGCGTACGTGTGTGGACATAGCAATATACTTATTATATATTTCAGCAATTTGCGTCACTTTACCTTATTGTGTTGGTGGAGACGTATCAGGGTAATTTACAGATTAGTTTTCTGTACCTACCCTGGCAATTTTTATTATTTAAATATTCTACAATATCATAATGAACAACGATATCTATGTACTAGCATGTACTAACGTACTAGAGGCAGCGTTCCATACAGACAATGTGTTTTACTGATGTGCGGTGAAGACGCTGCACATCATTTAGTTGGTTGTCAAATATTCAAGATAGGGAACGTAGATGCGGTTTTCTTTGAAATTTAATTTACATTGGAGTGTTGCTCACATTTCGCTATTTGACTAATTGTGTGAACATGAATTTAAAATTTAAAATGATTCATATTGAGTAAGTAATGTTGCGATTTTTGATTAATTTGTGCATTATAATATCTGATAATCGCGAAATAATATACAAAAGTTCACGTTATCTATCTCGTTTTGCAAGCATTTAAGGACGCGTGAATAAACGAGATAAAAGATAAATCATAGACTAGTAAGCAACAGAGTGTTCTGACTATACAAATTACTTTCGTTTTTTTTTTAGTAATATAGTAATTATAAATAGTAAGCGGAAGGCCCTTGGGTCAAAGTAAAATAAAATGAAATGTTCCTCAATTATGGATAAATATCATTGGTAAACACTCAATATTATCTTCTTCTTAGCTCATTCCCAATAGGTACCGATTGTCACGTCTGTCTACGGTATTGATACTCTTTGACAAAATTCAACACTAAAACAAAACACTATCACTATTGATTTAGTGTTTTGTTTGGTACATGTAGTTGCTGTGAATGTTCTTGTCTAGTATTATTTAATATTCGCGTGTAGTAACCTGCAATATTATTTAATATTACACGATAATAAACTCGAATACTGAAATAGTAAACATTCTCACCGAAATAAAAAAAAACTAACCTGAAAAATTACCCATCAATATTTAGCTATGTAGTAGATTATGACAAATGATTAAATAGTGTAATGTGGGGCAGTTGTTATTTAGCTAATTACATACTACTTATAAGTTACATGAATGTTGCACTCTATTATGGTACGTACTTCTTTTTTACCGGCCATTATTTTATATATCTTTATATTTCATGAAATAACCCATAACGTCTTATGGAACCATACTGTACAAATTTCTTACTTTTAATTACTGTAATAGTTGTGTTTAACATTAAAAGTGAGGTAGGTCAGTGAGCAAACAATATAGTAAACTTACTCTTGATCACGTATCCAATGCAGTGTGTAAAATGAAAATGCATGATCGAAGGTCTCTCTGAAGTCTTTTGGCAGTGTGTTCTCTACATCCATCACTCTGAAGACGGTTCTCTTGTCACCGTGATGTTCATTTGCAAACTGTACCATTTTCTCGCTAATATCCACACCGATTACTTTTTTGTAGTTAGAGGGAATAAATTTTTTTAGGACTTCTGTCGTCACGCCGCCATCGCCGCAACCTATGTCGATGATGGTGTCAAAGTTTTTCCATTTAATTTTCTTTTCATATTCTTGAAGGCATTGTAAAGCATCTCTTTTCTGCAGGGTATTGTTTTTCTCGTATAATTCGGCGTTGTTCATGGCAAGTCTTCTTGCGGTAGTTTCTTTCACTGTTGGGAATTTGTAATTTTGATTACTGATTTTAAACGTGATTTTTTTAACACAAGACGTGTGCGCGTGCGCTAGGTCGCCTCGCTCGGTGAAGTTTCGACGGGCAATCTCGACAGGAGCGGTGTTCGTACGTATTTATAAGTACCACCTACCGCGTGCTTTGGTAAATTCGACAATCTTAAGTAAGGAAACCGTTTATCACACCTGTATCACGACGGAATACAAACAAACTAGTGGAAATGGTATTAAGCGGCATATATCAGCATATAGTTTCAAAAACGGTGTCGCCACAAATTGTTGTAATCTAATTTTGCATTAACATTACATTACTTCCTAGAATTTATTATCCTTAATATAATTTTGATGAACGTATCGTGGGGACACTTCCGTTAGTTTTTTTTTTGTGTGTACCACATCAGGTATACCTGAATTAGAAAGGCTTGAACGCCTTACACAGAGAATATGTTACCTATTTTCAACTAATAGGGATTGTTGAAGACTATTTTCTTCTATTATATAATGTATGTGTCTGTTTGCTAATTACATGAATTTTGCCATCTCAGGTTACATTGATATACTTATGTGGCAAGCTGGTTAAAATTTCAGATGCCTCAAACACAGAAAAAAATGACAGTAATTAAGGACAAAATTAAAATAAATATTAGGTCACTCAACTTTTTTACCGTGGTGAATGTATAAAAAAATTAAAAGAAAAGGTATAGGTAGTTAATATTTTGAACAGATATACGTTAGTTTCCATATCCTAGCTTAATATCCAAGATCAGCAAATCTTTATGATTTATTTAATAAGCATTAAATAATATATGATTTATTTTTGAAAGTATTTCTGAAAAAAACTTTATTTGTTTAGACTCAGGGCAGGGCAGCCCTGGGTCTAATGTGCATAATCAAATAATTTTTGATACTATCAGTTTTTTAGAAAATATTCAGGATTATGGAATGTACTATTTGAAGTCTCGTCAAGTCATATCATAAAAAAAGTTTTGTCATTAGCGTTACCAACCACACAGAATTTATGTAATTTTTTTCTATAAATATATGATGAAAACGATGATAAATTTATAATTTGTAGGAGTTTTTTTACAGAAGACTTTAGAGATTGCATTATACAAACGTTATGTTGATTGTGTGTGTGATATAGGAATAGCCCACTGTCCGTAAAAAAATTAACAAGTTATTTTTTCGAACGTACTTTTCAGTGTTATTTTTTAAGTCGAAATGTGAAATTGTATAGTAAATTTTATTATTTCACATTTATTAAAGTATTTATTAGTGTATTTTTAGTTACAAAAAATCTTGCTCTGAACCTATTTGTGTTGGTGACCAACGATATTTTTGAATAAAGTTTGTACAATTAGATGTTCTGAAGGCTTAACATTTTAGTAGCTGTTGGTCTCCCGTTTTCCTCAATGGGGTTTGTTTGGGAAACAAAGTGCGTCATGATGAAATCCTATACACAATGTAGATTTTAACATAACAATAAGTATACATGCTCTTTTAGCCTATTAGGTTTTCCGTCTTTCATTCATTCAGTATTAGCAACACTTATAGGCCCGGGAATCAAGTTAATTTTCGGAAATTATCGGATTAAAGACATTGTGCCCCCAACTAAACACAAATAAATTATCGCCTTTGATTGCATTAACAACAGAAATATGTATCGTCTATTTTTCTAATTAAATATGTGATCTTGAAATCTAAAAATCCACCTCAAAATCTCGGTGGAATACATTGCTTAGTATAATATTTTGAGTAATTTAACAGTCTATTTTTATTTTATTGGCATTTATTTAAGGCCATGAGAAATTTTTAGTTTACGTATATAAGCATTTAAATTTATGTAACGGTTTATATGAACAGCCAGCTGTAGGCAATTAAGTGGGAAAATTAGTTTACATTCGGCCCGTCCAAATACATTCTAAATTTTTCTATAAAACAACAAATAGCACATACTTTTAACAGTAACTTAATAACCAATATTGTAACGGCATTAAATGAAGGAGACAATATGTACGCAGATTGTCTTCTTTTATTTTATTTAGAGAGATTTTATTATATAGAAGTAAAGAAAGAGAATATTTTTTTTAAATTAACTCTTCTATGGGGCAATATAGACTTAAAAAAATTCTTATATGAATATGAAATCACAATGCCTAAATCATGTGCGTTACAATAGTTATAGCAGTTTTCTTTGTATTTTTCAATCATGTCTCGATATCCGAAGCTCCTGAACTGTATCAGAGTTTTCCTCTACGATAAACGATTGTGTACAAAGTAGGCGATTTCGTACTCATCTGCCGAACATAGGCGCCGATTATCACCGTTCGGAATAATCAGTACTTGCGTTCGCATAAATACTCTTTTGTGTTGTAATTTATTGAATCGGTGACTTTCATCTTTACTATTTTTAGGGTTCCATAAATCACAGGAAAAACAGAATTAGTATTCGTATGTCCTTTTGCCGTCAAAACAGTTTTGTCGGAAATAATTTGTCGTAATATCCCACGAAGGCCCTTTCTCGAGTTAGGGTTCTCAGCTGAATTACCGTGGTTAATTTTGTTATTTAAGTGTTGAAGTACTAAATAATATAGGAAATGAAACTATTTTTCCGGATTTAAATCGCGTATATTTGTTTTTTCAAACAAACCGATGTTTCGGGCCCTTTACAGGTCCCATGGTCACGGTTGACTGAGGTGGTACAGTCTTCAACCAGTTATGTCTAATATTGATGCAAACCACCCTATTTTTTCCACTATAGTTACAATAGTTATTAATTAAATACCTTATTTTAAATTTTACAAAAAAAACATTCCAATTTATGCTATATTAAGTTTTGCAAATTATTTTATTGAATGAATTTTTATTAAGTTCAATTTATTATTAATTATTAATAGAAATTAGAATAAACTAAAACATATTAATTAGTACTGCAGTCTTATGTCTGTTTGGGATTTTTCATTAGAGGAAATACTGGATCCCAAACAGGTGGTACGGAGAAACCATCTTCCCTGTTGAAATTAGGATGTTTTTTAATTTCAATGGCCTTCGCAGCATCCTGGGTAGATAACGGACTTCTTTTGCAAGGACAACTCTAATTTCAACAGGTTGAATTATTATTAGACATAACTGGTTGAAGACTGTACCACCTCAGTCAACCGTGACCATGGGACCTGTAAAGGGCCCGAAACGTCGGTTTGTTTGAAAAAACAAATATACGCGATTTAAATCCGGAAAAATAGTTTCATTTCCTATGTGTAACAATCGCGAAAACCTAAGAACTCGATATTAAATGATATTTTTTTAATTTGTTTAGGACAACCTACTAGTCATACACTTAATACATACAATTTTGATTATACAATTCGAACGGAGTAATGCTAAAGTGTTGACTCAATTAAAGGTTGCCACCACATGCAACACAGTTAATTATTTATACACTCAATATATACAGTTATTCACACTTCACAATAATATCTCGAAAAGTTATCCGAGAATGACTGAAAAGTAACTGAATATTATAAAGTTGTAGAATAGTATTCTAATAAACATATGACCTTCAGTTATCTAGTTTTAACTTCCAAAGTTATATAATGTACTCAAATGGACATTTGTATTCAAATGATCTTTATCCTTCTCACGGATTCGAGTGAAACCAAGTAAACAAAATCATGTTTTTTGAAGCAAAAACGATGAATGTAGGTCACACATTAATTGCTAGCTTTTTTAAATGCGGTAATTTAACTTTTTATTATAAAATCATTATTATTGTTGGGATATTGACTTTATTAGTAGCAGAGGTTGTCAATTCTTTTTGCATTGGCGGTTCCATTTAAATTGAAAAGTTACTCTCGTTCTCGGGCCGACATTCGTCCGAAACAATAACTGTCAAATAAGTTAATACTCGATGAAATTAAAAGACGCATGGTGCGACTGAATCTTCATAGTTGATATTGTCTTTTCATTTGGTCGAGTATTACTTTTGTGACAGTAATTGTTTCGGAAGGACTTCAGACGAGGAACGAGAGTACACGCCCGAGATCTCTGTGGCGGCGTTTATCTATTACTATTATTACAAAGTTACATAGACTTTGTAAAAGTTTAATAGCAAACTTCTCGTTAATGGTGAAGGTAATCATCGATCAATCATCAGTCGAAGAGGATTTACAACCCTTGGAAAATGTGAAGTCGTGGCAGTCTGTAGCCAAAACAGCAGTGACACGTATAATGGGTTGCAGATTATGATGAGATAATCGAATAAATCTCCAATTTAAGACAATTTTTAAAATCTCCATACGGCATGACTGCATTATACCCTCCAACCATATGGACAGTAAAGTATGAAATAAGCGATATGAATATTTCTACTCGTCAAAACTACTCATGTTTAGCAACACTGTGTTACTCTGATTCCATATGTTTATCAACGGTTGTTTCTGAGGATAATTTTACATTTACTTTTTAATAAACAAATGTAACAAGTTTGATCATAAACGGCATTAATACCGAGGACACTACCCGGAACATCCACAACGAAATATCTTGAATTCTACTTGCATCAAACGCGGGACATTAAAACGGTCAGAATGGACATGCACCACTATGTTCGTTTGAAAGCCTCATGAGGCTGAATCACATGATTTTAAAAAAGATGTGGAGGAAAAAAGACTTAACCATAATTATCACTGGACCGCGGTTGATGGGTTATAATTCCAATCCTTTCCAGAGGGGAGGCCCTTGCCCAGTAGTGGTATTTGACGTCCCTCTCCTGAATGAGTGTCGTAAATACCATTAGGTATTGTTTTCAGAGCTACATATTGTTGATTAAGGTAGTACTCCACATCCTGAGCCGTAGCTTGTGTCGACCTGGTTCTACCAATGGCAATGCAAATTGCACTACTTGCATTAGGCGTAGGGTATTCGGAACACAGCAATACTGTGATACACCCAAGCTGCTCCTACCACCTGAAAAATATTCAGCTATGGATTTAGGCCGAAATAGTTACGTTGTCTTGTGTAATTGAAGCAAAGTAATGTTGAAAAAGTGATAATATTATTCGTTTAAAGAAATAGCAATACACGGTTGAACGCTAATATAGCTTATCCGTTTTCATTTATTATTCGTTTAAACCGACTTGAAGGACTTATTGTCATCAAGTGACGGAACGAAGAAGGTAAGCCTGGTGGTAAGCGACAAGCCTATCCATAACAGTTGCAGTGCCAGTCAGAGCCTTAAATCGCAAAGATCTTAGGGACACTGCCACTGCGCCCGTCATCCTGAGACATAAGTTGACAAGTCCCATGTGCTTGCAATATTACCAGCATCCTTGCGGCAAGCTGGTTAAAATTGCAGATGC